GCTCTGTGAGGTGGGAAAAATCTTGTGCTTCGTTCGTGAAGCAATTGGTTCGCGAGTTCCGCAGCGACATGACATCATCGCTTGCGGCCATACGGAGTATTCAAGTGGGTGTTGGCACAACCGTCTGACGAATCGACCTCAATAGTCGGCGGGGCTGATTCTATCGCATGTTTCCGCGGGAACATAAAGCTGTCATTGTCTTGCTGCCGTCAAGCTCGCACCTCGCGACTACATCCCTCAGCTGATGACGATGAGCCATTGTAATGTGCGCCCCGGGATTCCTTGTGTGCTACTCTACCATCCACCTCGTTATGTGAGTAGTTCTCACCCGGTTCGTGAATGTCCACCGAGCAGACCACGTCCATCGCTAACGGGGTGGCATTGAGGGATCCATGCCCGCTCGATAGTGATAGCGCGGCTTTGCGTCCCGTCAGGAAGAGCGGAGCCAGCCAACCCGCTCGTCCCTTCGTCCGTTCCTCCGTCGGCCATGGATAGAAACATTGAATATGTCTGTGGACGGGAGTCGTTGAGCCCCGTTTCCTGCCTCGTTCTCGATGCCGCTGTCGATAGCGACGACGGTATGAAACATACAAAAAGTACGCTGCAGCAGTTGAAACATCTATCATGCACTACCTTGTCTCCGGGAGAAAAATGATCGATAAACTCGAAACAAGGAGATTTCGAGCGAATGCGCATCGTTTTCTCAGGGCGCACGATATCTCTTCGGGCAGAACTTTTATTCACGCCGACTTCGCTGGCTCGTCGAGAGGAGTCAGTCAATACTGGACCGAGCGAGTGGAAACAGGAAAAACACTTAAGCTCCACGAGAGCGGTAGGTACTCGGTTGCTGACTCGAGAGCTTGTCAAGATTCCTCTTGCCTTCCTAGAGAGGAGCGTACCTCGGTGCTTACGGTCGGTCTATGATTAGACCACTAACTCCCCATACGTCTGGAAATCAATTGATCCGAACCTCTTCAGCCTTGGGAACCGGCCTGCTTAGGCATGGAAGCGCATTCTTCGAGGGTCTCGAAGCAGGAATAGCTGCGACATCGGCTCTTGGGACGCTCCGGCGAGCGAGCCGCCTCCAGTTTCCCCATATCATCGATTTCACGTTATCGCCATCAGAGGAGAAGAGAGAAAACGACGCCCCGAGCTGGAATCGAAGTTTAGTCAGACTCGAAGTTTCGACTACGAGAGCGATGTCAACCACCGGCCCTTACGCTACCCGTATCGTTTTTGCTATCAGCAGATGCTCTCCGATAACATGCCTTAGCTAGCGAATCTCATATTCCAAAAGATGTTCGACGATTTCTATGTAGATTCCCAGAATTCTGACTTCTCGTATTCCGACAGTCGAATGAGCCAGCGGCAAGCCGACTAAGATCCCGTCGGAATACATTCTCCGCATGCGGAACAATTTTGGAGAGATTCGAATCGCGACGCCGCGCCGTCTTTGGTCTCTCTTTGTTCGGGCCTCAGAAATGCGAAACTTTCCGATCGCAGAAACCCTATTTGTGAACTTTGACCGAGCCTCGACATCTATACTTTTGGCTGAGGATATGAATATCTAGGTTCGCACTTCGTAATCCGAGAAAATCTTTTCATCTGTCCCATTTCATTCTTCCCATGCCTAGCCGACGCGCCATGAGCGCGAGACCCGTCTTTGACGGGTCGCATTTCCGCGAGCAGGTTTGACAAGACACAAAAGAACGTTCACAGAAATTGTCGGCGGGAATAGCGCAGTGACGTGAATGAGTGATAGTCGGCTCAGGAATCTCGACTGCTTGCAGGAAACGGATACGGAGCTACAGTCGACGGTGGTGACCTAGAACCGACCGCAACAGGACCCGAAGAGGGATTGAAACCAGAACCTTGAGGCGCAGTTCCTCACGAAGATCCCGTATTTCCCCTCTCTTGCAGGGGACCGCCGCCACAATTCGAGAGCGGCCGGAGATCTGCGAGAAAATAGGACTTTCCGTCTTCCTCTCGGCGAGCAGCATTTTGCCTTCTGCCCCTTGAGCTCCGTGGAGATAAGAGTCGCGCCCTCCACGATCGTGGCTTGTGCAAGTTCCGTTCAGGCGCGTCTGTTTGTCTTGTAAGCCGGATCGTCGTCGAGCTTGAAATTAATTTCATTCCAGCATTCGTCGCTCCAACGCCCCCGCCGTGTTCAAGCGATGAGGAGAAATGCCGCTCCGGGAATTTCTCCCTCAGGAATTGGGCACTGAAAACTCAGAGCGTCATCATTCGCTCAGAGCTTCCTTCTGGTATATATCCGGAAAGAATTCCTCCATGGAAAAGACATCTGGAAAGCGAGATCGTTGAGAATCCATGGCCTGGACTCCCTGTGGCTGCATGAGTCTCGAAGTGTGGGGAGTTGAAGTTTAGTGACATTTGTGAAATTGCATGTTTCACCTGCGGAGAGCCGTTATCACTCAACGCGGCTAAAAACGAAGAGGAACTCTAGAAAAGGCTTCTTTCTCGGAGAATTGCCGTCCGCGAGTGAAGCGGTGAAGTCCTTCTAGCGTAAAGGTCACGACGTTGTTCTCTTTGCCGAGCAGGTTTCACTTGGAGACGCTTTAACGAGACGGAGCCTCTTGTGTAGCTAGCGAGTGCGTCAAATCAAATCAAACTTCTCTCGGACCAGATTTTGGGTTCGAGGGAGAATCCCTCGATGTTTCGTAACTTTTTACGAGATTATTTGCAGCCCATAGTGAGCGTTGAACACTACTTGATCTCGACAAGTGTTCAATGTTGACTGCTGCGATGATTGCACCCATGTACTTCTCTCAGCCAGACCCGCCTCGTGTATGGCCAGCGGGTAATGAAAGGATCTTCCGAGGACAATAATTTCCGAACCGCTATATTCCTCAAGAAGCTTGTGATCGTCCCAGAGAATGCGGAGACGACGAACAGCGTTTGTTTCAAAGCCCTCCCCCCTTGTTTTCTTCTGTTTCAGATGGTCATGACAGAAGACTAACGATGTTGCCTTGATTGGAGTCCGAGCCGCCCTCGAAGGGTGGATACTTCCGTCGAAAACACCCTTCGTCGCCAGTGTAGAAGAGCTGCCGCGAGTGCGGACTCTCTCTACCCGCTCCGCAGAAAAGTACGATGTTCACTGCGCAGCGTAGAGAGCACACGAATATGTTGAACTTCTAACAGTGCAGCCCTGGACAGAACCACCTTCAATGGGGGAAAACTGAAAGCGAGAAAAATAGCCGGAATCACTGCGTCCGACAAGTGGTCGACGGATGAGCCCTCGAGTTCTGCCCATCCAGGCACCGCTCGGCATGATTGAGTCAACTCCGTCGAGACGATCCGTCACAAACCGCTTAGAGTCACGATCGCTCTCAGCAATGAATATCGAAATCAGCTCATTAGTCCTACGTGCTCTGCCGGGTCCGGATGCCGACGGAAATAGGTTGAATCGAGCTCGAAGCCCCTCTCACTCTCCGGGTCCTTCTAGCTGGGATATCGCCTGCTCGAGGAAAATGAACTGTCGTCCATGTTGACATGTTGGAATTTCCCCGATCACACGCCCGATCCATGTGAATTTTGTCCACAGAGATTAATGAGTTTACTATTGTTGTTGAGGTCGGAAACAATTGATTTATATGCATATCTAGCTAGTCCGTCATCGGGTATGGATGTTCAACGAGTAGTGCACCGCGTGGCACATAGAGCCGATACCAATCTCACAGGCATACACTCGATTTACCAATTATTATTATCATCATCAGTATTATTATCCTCTCTGTGTAATTACTGTGTAACAAGAGAAATTATTATCACTAGCGGAACTCATCATGGAGAGCTCGTGCTGCTGAGTCCGGGTTAGGAGTCTCTTATCGGTGAATCTGCCGACAGAGGAGTTGCGGGACGATATGCTCGGTATATACGCTTCCTGACTGTTTTACAAACGTATGCGAGTTTCGAGCTCCATTTCCTGCTCTCCCGCCCCGCTATCGTTGACGATTCACAGCTTTTGTGTATCGAAGTCGTGCATATCACAAGATCTGACGGTAGATGCAACATCGCCATGGTCACCAACAAAGTTACAAACGAATAAGAAAATAGTCGTTTCCTCACTCGTATACATCAACAAGAGAATATGATTGCGGAGCGGTTTCGAAACCATCTTTCCTTCTTCCGGGGAGCGCCCGCAACCCTTGTTTCCTCGGAGGGATATTTTCAAATGCAACGTTCGTAAATCCGAGGAGCGTGGAACATACACTCCTCCGACCTCGCTCGTCAGAAAGCAAGAAAGCCTTGGCTATGCATCAACTCGACGCGTGCTCAACACAAGAACCGCTGATAGAAGAATCGAACACGAACAGCATTCTTTCTCCCGGAGGTGAGCAAATTTTCAAGCGGAAACCGGCACCCTTGGTCGATATAATATGTACATCCGTACAGCTTCCTCTAATCAATTGTCTCCCGTCACTGTGATTACCAGGTTCTTCTTCTCTGTTTTCCTTCGGCCGTGGTAAAGGTTTTGGAGGGCTGTAGCGCGCGCGCTCTCGCATTTTTTTTACATAGAGGAACCCCCCACTCGCTGTCCCTGAAGTCCGAGTTCTTTGTCCGGAGTAAAAATCCGACTTTTACTCATTTGATCCAACCAGTGGAGCTCTTGAGTTCCGAAGGAAATTAATTGAATTCTCATGGATAGTATGAACAACTTTGGGACGTCCCGAGGACACAAAAGCTTACATCGCATGCAAAAATTTCAGTCCATGGGGAGGACCGGATGTTCCCATATCCTTCCCGAGAAGGTTTGCTCACTTTTAGCCCCAATCACCGAGCTGATCCGGAGCCAATACGTGATCCGAGTACGCGAAGGAAAACTTCTGAAGTTTCGCTTTCTGTACAGTTTAGCGCAGTCGCGCATTCACCCAACAAATCACATAGTCATACATATTTTCCAGATCTAGGCTGAAAAGGCAGTCACACCGACGAGCTACGCAGGGAAAAATCACCGGAGCATGGAAAAGAGAGCCGCGGTGTTACACACGCGTACAGCCAGAGATTTTTGTGGCGTTGTTCGTTATGATCATCGAAGTGTTTTGGGAGTTCTCGATCGGAGGTTTCCGACCGAATAGCTGACCGAACAGTTGGAAAAACGTTCTCCGGATTTCGGTTGAACACAAACAGTAAACGTAAAAGTTCGAGGCGAAATTCATCATCTCCATATTATTCGCGATCGCTCGGAAAATCTGGAAGGAACGGGGAAACGTCGACTTGTAATTTGAGACCGCAATCAAGAAATGAATTCTGTCCTCCCACTTTCGGGGAAACCGAACTTCATTCGCCGTGATTCTCTAACCTGAAAGCCGAGATGATGCTCCTTGTCGTCCGAGATGATCACGGTTAGAATCGCTGCCGGAGTCATGCAGATGAGGAACATGATTACGATGGCGACCAGCAGGATGACTAGACGTTGCTCCTCGGCGAATTTTTACCTTCGGCCGAACAACCAAGCAGAGACTTTCGCTTTTGTTGAAGTCTCCGAAACGTGAAGATTATACACGTGTTGAGGACGACGACAACAATCACGGGTCCAACGCGTACGGCGATCTCTTTGATTAACAGGTATAGTTTGAACGCTGGATGTGTCGAAACCTCGGTCCATTCGCACGCGTGATATTCCGTTCTCACTTGGATATCGCTACTGTTATCGAGCGTGTACGGAACCGATATCGGGATCGGATATTTTTGGAATGCTACCGGAATGTAGAGCATGAAGGCGAAAACAAATGAAAGCGTGATGGCTACCCGGGCTTGACGATCGTTATGGATATCTTTGTATCGGGTCGGTAAACAGACGGACCAATACCGGTCAATGGTCACGGCCACTACCAAGAAGACACTGCTGGCCATGAACGCGTTCACTAATGGCATCTCGAGATGAGCGAACAGGAATGCTGAGCTGTAGTCGCGCGGATGAATTCCCGCGAGACGAATCATCGACACCGAGCCCATGAGGAGCACGGCGAGGTCTGAGATAGCGAGCCATGATAGGTAGACAAAGGTGACTCCTCGGAGATTGGGCCGCGTCAGAACGATAAGATTGATTATGTTCCCAATTACACCCAACACTATGATGACAGGGAAGACGACGCTGTACGCGACGAACTTCACTAATTCCACATCGCGCAGGTCGACTGAACTCTCGCGTTCGTCAGCTTTGACGCTGAAGGTCGTGTTGGTTGCCCATGAACTCGCGTTGGCGCTTCCTTCGGAGCCTAGGCAGTGCATACTGGGCAGCCAGTAGACCTTGAACGCCTACTCATTCACGGCGAGATAATCATCTGGGGACGAAAAAAAAAACGAGTCTTAATACATACGTCCGAACCCACTCCCCGGAACACGAAACGGAGAAATTCCTTTCGCTTTCTCCCGACCGGATCGACATCGAACGAATAGAATTATTTTCCCGGCGCAACACGAGTCCCACCGGCGCGGCGATCCGGTCAAAGGGTATCGATACGAAGCTCTTTATCTCCGGGGGGCGCAGACAAAAAGCCGAGGCAAGCAATATCGAAGTCGGCCACGCGGCACGATTATTGAAATTTTTTCCTACTCGCTGCGACGAATGAGACCCGGAGGGTGGAGCGGAACAAACCCGCCCGGGAACCGAATTTTTGACGCGGTGTCGTGTCAAGGCGTACTCGACAGCGTTCCCGCTCTTCTCGACGCGAGACAAACCGGAAGCCGTGATTTTCTTTGTTAGAGAAAATATTCGAGATGGATTTCGCTTGGCTGACACGAGTCTCTCAAATGGAAATGCTCGCTGCATTTATCCTTTGCTTTTTGTTAACCCGAGAAAGTTCCAGCTCGGCCTAAATCGCTTCGTAGAATGTCTATATATACATTCTCCTTGGTGTTTTCATAGAGAGATGTAGAGCCTAAGCTCGAAGAAGTATGTATATGTCCGTCTGTACTTGATGGAACACGGAGGGTTTTTGTCTTCGACTACGAAAATATTGTGCCAGTCTCAGTTGCCTGTGGCGGGCCATTGAGCGAAGCAGTGACTTGTGGCAAAAAGCAGTAGCTCTCTGTCGAGACGGGGAGAACTTAGCCAACCGCGAGGCTCCGGGTCTCGGCTGGGAGATAAGTCGTCTATTTTAATTAGGCTACATTACACAGGAAATATTAAATATTTCTTCTCGCAGACGTCGCAAGAGACGCCTTCGGGATTTCGTGAGGGCTCCGCAAACTCCCAGATAACCCTCAAGAGGGAACCCAAATACCCTCTCCAGGGAATGGAGGGGATTTTCTTTGTTCAGGAACTTTCGCTGTGGTTAGCAGCCTGGGTTTTGCGGAAGGTTCGTGCTTCAATCAGTCTCAATCTCGTAGGTCCCTCCGATGTTCAGAGAAAAGGGTCTGCTTGGTACCGGGATCGGCTGAAACGCTTAAATTTTAATGAATCAGACTTCGATGTTCTTGTCCCTCGGAGGAGCGATGCGGGTTCGTTTGCAGTTTCGGAACGAGCTCGCTCCCTCACTGCTCCCGCCTCCCGTCGCCAACGTCGTCGTTCCCGAGTGAAGTTCCGGAGCAACCTCTTGAGAAGGGTTCACAGGGACGACTACTCTGCTGCGTTCATTGCCTCACCAGGCTCGGTTTGATGGAGAACTGAGTCGGCCGCCCACCTAGCCAGCGTAGGGAAGGCGGAATTTCTCAGAACGGACCGTACGTTGAACGCATTTCCCCCGATTCCATATGGTCCTCCCTTTTTCAGTTTGGATGCCAATCCTCACCATTCCGCTATAATTAGCACTAGAGTGTTCCCTCCCTCCTGGTGTGATAGCGCCATCCTCACAGTCGAGGAGGCAGGAAATCTCGAAAGTTTCCTGGAGCTCCGTGTTCGTTTCGCTTTCAGGCTCAGACGCCTTTCTCTTTCCGTAATAGGATTTCTGCATCAGCGAAGCCAGATGTCGACACTCTATCAGCGAGCACTTAGCGAAGCATCCGCCCCGGAAGATGAGAATTTCAGCTGAGGGTTTGTTGATTCTAGTGGAGAAATCACTATCAGGGAGAATGGATTCCGTCTCACTCTGTCATGGAAACGACTGCCAGTATTCAGAGTGCAATACGTTGCTGGGGATTCGCTTTCAGTCATCCGTTCCTTTCGCATCGTCTGGACCCGATGCTGCTCCGCTTCCGAACGAAAGTGATCCGCAGCGTCCGATGCATCATTGGTGAACTTATCCGGGTTCTGAGCCCGCGGTCAGAGGCGGCGAAAACTCCGGGCACGACGCCCAATCGACGGTCGGCGAAACTTATTCTCTTCTCCGGGGTCCAAGAGAACCGTCGCTTCTCGCAGACATGCAACGCTTTTCCTTCGATTTCGATCCTTGTCGGTATGGTCGACAAGCGACCCGCGTCTCGCAATCGGCGAATTGAATGAACAAATGACTCCCACGGGGCTTCCCGTTGGGAGAAGTTGACGCGAAATTTCTCCAGGAGCTTCCGTTAGAGAGGGGTTATCCGAAGCAAGCTTCTGACATAACCACCGACAAAAATTCATAGGATAATCGAATAATTCGGTCTGAATAGAAGCCTAAGCCCCGGGAACAGCCCCCCTGAGAATGCTACCTAGGGGGCTATTTCGCCACGCGTTTGCATTCAAAGAGAGATCCCGCTCAGCAGGTCCGCGCGAAATATTGAGCTATTCAGTTGGTGTCGAGAAACGAACGCCGCACAAGACTATTCCCGCCCGCGGACTCATGAGCTCTGGGCTCTGCGACCAGCCCATGGAAAAGAGCAGTCTTGCCGCCGGACGCTCCACGGATGCGGGAGATCACTTCCCACGAGAGCTATTCCTTGCAAACTCATATGACGTAGGACGCGGCTTCTTGCATGAATCCACCCGACGTGAAGAGTCACCGAGCGTATCTTAGGGGCCACGAATACAGGTCCGATTCTGAGCTCCACAGTAAGACGTGCCAGTCAGAAGAGTCGGAAACCGCTCAGATCAGCTGGTCGCGTCAAATTCAAATTAGCCACCAAATGCCCAGGTCCCAAGATACCGCTCGGGCAGCGGAAGCAGTCGATCCTTTCTTGTGAGGGCTCTATCGGTTCCTTTCTTGAGAGCAATGGAAGCGCTGTCCATCGATCCGATCAATGGACGGAAATGGCCCTCGTCGGTCGAGCATTTTAACCGAAACCAGCGATGCATTCGGCAACGCGGATCGGGACCCGGAACGGTTCTTCGGAAGTCCCAATTATTTCCTAATCTAGGGAATGAACGATGAAAGCCAATCCTCGATTTCCTGCGGAATCTCGCGCGATGAAAAGATCTCGCGACGCGGGATTGTTCCGTTCATCGACGATAGGCAGGCCGGTAGCGGGACAATACTTCATGTCTCCAAGAATAAGCTTTGGATGGGCGAAATGATTTGATGAGAAGCCGGGTGCCCGTTCTCCATTCTCCGCGGGAGGGAGTTTTCCAACGGCTCGAAAGAGGTTATCACTCTTTGAGACAACTTACAGGAGATAATGAGGTCGACTGCGTCGGGATGTCAAGGGGAGGGCAAGCGTTCCTCGCGGTTTCGGTTGACGACATAGTTCCGAGGAGCCGCAAAGTTGGTCTTAACATTCCACCTCGTCCGAACGGTCGACTAAAGCGCACTCGATCATTATGAAGGGAGAAACTTTCACTTTTGGGAACGGCGCAAACTAAGCTCCCCGAGCTCGGCGAATAGTCTCCGTCAAATTTATCACCCCTGTCGTCGAAATTAATTTCGGATAACGTTCCGTGCCACGTGTCCGTGCTTTTCACGTCGCGTCGCCTGGGTTCACATAGTCCTGCGGCGGTAGGGGATCGCAATCAGATTCGGGTGACTATTTTCATCCATCTGAATGGGAGAGGATTTTCTCTTGAGGTCTGGCGAAGCGCCCAGCTATCGTCTAGGGCAACGATTAGAAGATCGAAACCTTCTCTCCTCCCCAGTTTGCCGTCTTTACTCAATCAAGACCAGCACAAGTGGAAAGTAATTTTGCTCCTGTTCAATTAAGATATCTGAGGCTATCATTTCAGACAGGCCGGACCCGTCGCTCCGCTCCTGTTTCCGGGCTTTAAATGAAGAATTTTTTTAGATGATTGATTCTCCCGAGTCTGCATCACGAACGATGATGAAATCGGTTCATTGATGAACACCGCGACCTCCTCGCTCCGCGGATTCTTTCGGCACCCCTCATCTGGGGGTCCTCCAATTCTTCGAAAGGCATCGGTAAGGAAGCTACAGGTAAGAGACATCATCTCGACTCGATCATGATTGTTGTAGACAGCGATTCGCCTCTGGGCTTAGAATTGCCTTCCACTAAGCGCTGTTCTCGTAGCCGCCTCTCATCAACATTATTATGGCTTCACCTTCACCAGAATGCCGCTGTACCCACGGCCGAACATCGTGAGCGGCGGGACGGCGTGGAAACTCCGGGACGGTAACGCTTCCACGTGGACCACCATGCTCGATATTGTTGTGCGACCGAGTTGCCAATGCAGGTTAGTAGTTCAAGTATTAAAATTCTCCCACTTCGAAACCGGTCAAGTCCGGCTTCTTCCCCGCATGACATTCAGATGAGCTGGTACTCGAGGAGAATGTCAGATCTGAACGGGCCCAGATCTATCATGGAACACCCGCGGCTCCAATAGGAACATTTGATGGATCTGCTGACCCAGGGGTATAGCGCCAAATACTCTGCTTGTAAATGCCGCTAAAACGAAACAAGCAGAAATTCCAGAGCTGAAGTGCTCTGTCTTCTTGGAGAGCTCCGCCTCGAATCCTCAACATATGGGAGTTTGCCTACGCGTGAGCTGAAACCTCGGATTCTTTCGGACTCGGAACATTCCGAAAGGGGGAAAAGCTCTCCGGAAACAACAGCATTGTAGCGTGCCAGCTTCTCACTGTCATGTGCACCCGTCGGAGAAAAGGCGATCGCTCGACAATGATGAACGCGGGCTCTGGCTTATTGCTCCGGGTATAGCTTCCAGTTTATGCCAGTTTTCGCAAACCTATCCGTCCTCCTAATCTCATCGGGGAAATTCGCAGGGGACTCGATATCTGATAGAAGGATGGATTTCTAGAGGTTTTTCTTCTGCCCAACGTACCGCGGAAATGAAGCCGAGAGCGGAATCAATAACAGTAGTCTAATGTTCCAACAAATCACACAATCGTAATGTGATCCGGAGCTTGCCAGTTTCACAGGAAATTCATCAAGTTCACTCTGACCACAACTGACTCGATACCCGAACTTCGGAGTGAGGGATGTTGGCTTCTGGTTCCGAGTTTAAGGAGGTCTCTATTGAGGCGAGGGTCCGCCGGAGCGAGGGACGAGGAGGAAGGACGAAGGGCCTCTCTCTAGTAAGGGTTCTTTCTGCCAGATATCGTCCACCACGACCGCGTTCCGGCACTCCTTCCGCGGGAATACCTCCAGCATGTAAACATACGTGCTCCGACAGAGAAAACTAGTCCACCTTCGTAGCATGAGATGTTAAGCATGAGAAACCTTCTATGAATGAATATTCTCGCATCGAGTCGGGAATATGCGTTCGGTTATCTCCACGTATTTGTCAGAGAGGAGTAACTGCTCGAGACCTAATGAATGCCTGGACTTGCCCGATCGGTGGATGGAGCGAGGGGAATAGTGTGCGAGGAATGAGTCGTCACTCTGCGCCGCTGCGGCCACGTGGCGCACCTCTCCAGTCTCTCCGATGTCTGGAGAGGGGAACGAAGAGAAAACATTCTGGAGCGGGAGACGACGCGAAGCCGGATGTCGAAGATCGTGGGAATCTATCTCAGGAGTTGCGACTTTCAGAGGCAGGCATCGTCGCTGGAATCGACCCGCGGTCGCCCTGTCCCACCGATGAAGAGATCGACTCCCTGGAAGCATCTCCCGATATCTCTTCTTGACTCAATTTAGTGCTGCGTTGGCTATGCCCGTGCGCATATAAACTGATACATTGATGAGAGGCCTCTGAGGCGCCTGCCTCTCTAACCCCGCTATCTCAGGTCATAGAGATGTCGCCAGGGGAGCGGATTGCCAAGCTCTGCAGGGGTATTCACCGAAATACTCCCTGATATTCTCTGCACAGCTCAACCCTTCTGCAAAACTTTACTCCATCAGCGTCGACGGCTTTGGGAGGCTCCTTGTGAGCCTATCCTTTGGATCCCTAGATGGCATTTAGCTGAAAACGAGAAACATCCCAATTCCTTGTTGTGCAAATATCTCACGTCTGAGGACCCAGCTGGTGTGTTGGATTGCTTGGAAAATGAAATCGTCCGGAGTGCTCCGGCTTGTATTCAACGAGTCGACTGGTCGCAGATCCGAGGCATCAGTTTCTCTGAGGCTTTCTCTGAGAGTTTTGAAAGCAGTTTGAAATTCAGAGGCATCCTCGAAGAAGTCGGCGATCTCGCACAGCTCTTTGCGTCACAACGAGATATCGAGATCAGCTTTTCTAGATCGGGGTCCTCGCGGGTCTGAAGACTATCCGCCAACGGTGTAAATCCCTATAGGTGAGCTACGAACTCACCCCGCCTATTTCTTGAGTTTCGATGTCTCTACCCAATAATAAATGTTATAGCCGACAAAAGCGAACGGGATTATCCGACCCGATAATCTGTCGAAACTAACGGGATCCGTGTTGATCATTCGTCGCCATAATCCGCGAAGCGAGTCGCATATCCCTGCTGACGACGTAGAGTCGTGTCCCCGTCGCGAACGCATCTTTCGGAGCTGGAACTCTGCGAAACGCTCCTTGGTTCTAAGGTGGACGTCGTTAATGTCGACCGGTGTTCTCGTTTTGAGTAACGGCGTTTCCTCGAGTCGTTCAAGCAAGCGGCGCTTGTTTTTACTGACGAGAACGTTGACTATAATGGACTGCGCGATCGAGACGATGACGAAGTAAATGCAGGCGTAAATGTACATGTCCATCCGCGTTGCATACGAAAGCGCCGGAATGGAGGCTTTGCGAGACTGGAACAAAGTTTTCTCGCTATCTCAATCGGAACTGAAAAATATCGGAGGGGGAGATGAAAGCTATCGAGCATCGACCTATATCTCTAGATGCCGCATTGGCCCAAAAATCTTGGCACTTCCAGGGAACTTCCATTTGAATTCAAGATCAATTGTGTCATCGTAGGTCTACCATATCGGGGAGCGCTGGATGGCGAAGACCAATGACGCGCTCCAGAATCTCGCCGTCTCACCTGCGCGAATACGGTGATGATTGCCTGGAGGAGTGTGATGGAAACGTTCAAACGTTCCGGCGTAGACTCAACGCTCATGAAGTACGGAGCGAACGAGGCGAGCACGAGCAGGATCGACGGAAGGTAGCTCGACAAGAACTGGTAGAATATCTGACGTGTGAACGTGAATCTAACGCACACACCTGTTGAATAATTGAACAAACGCGGATGATGGAAAAATATGAATTGGAGCGATCGCGAGTCATGTGGACCCGAGGAGAGAATTCTGATTCGCTTCCACCGTGTGTGACTCATGTCGATCAGAATCCACCTCCCGTATATGAGAAACGTTCTCCCTTCTCCCCCTTGCAACTGGCTGGCAGACTGGGGACTGTGATTACCTGCGTATTCGGCTCCCGTCGGCGGATTTGTGTATTCGCAATCGATCGCGACCTCGACAGCGCTTTCCAAGAGATAAGGCCCTTGTTCCGAGACGAAAAACTCGTCAACGTACATTTCGTCCGCGGCGGTGAGCTTGAGGTCCTCTTTCGGGTAAGAGAAGCTCCGAAGGTTCAGGAAACAGGTTTGAGAATCGAACGGGAAATCACTTGGAAAATTGTATTGTCCCGTTCAGATTGGTGCTTCCTTCCGCTAGATCTCCGAACCTCATCCGATGCGGCCCTTCATCGATTGTTATCCGTTAGTCTTCTCGCGTCCCGTCAGGGACAGGAAGATTTCATTTCGATTGAAATTTCCACTCACCGGAAAGACATGCTGCATTTCACGATTAGTCTCTGCTTAATTTTGAGAGTGCATACAGCGGATCCTTCTATCTCGGGAGCGCTTTCGAAATTCGCGATGGAGAAACTCTTGTTCGGCGTATCCGCGGAAGGCAAGGTGACCTCGGTCGCTTCTTGGAAATATGGATCGGGCAACCAGAATAGTGACATCTGTAACGAGAGGTCTAGTTAGCCACCCCTCGACGGGGACCGCTCCGTTCTCCTCAGGCTGTCGTCGGGAAGCCAGAAAACGAACGAGTCCATCTCTCTCACTTTGTTCGCGGGCACGTTTCCCAAGCGATACAAATCGATGGGATCGATTCCGTTTTTTCTCATCACGACTTTCGTGTAGTTCCATGTTTGGCTGTCGAGTTCCCAGTAGAACTGCACCGTGCAATCGACACTGAATTGAGTCTTCACCGCGTTGATGTCGGAAATCGAGTGTATGCGAAAGGCCGTTCCAATACTGATTGCTTCTTCAGAGTTCAGGGGTGAGGTTCTACCGAAGGTCTGAATCTGGAATTCGCAGAGAAGAGGAATCTCTGAACGACGGCCACGAGGGCGAAGGCGCTCAGAAGCGATTTCAGAGCCGGACAGAATCGAAATTGAGTCCACTCACCTCCGAATGGTCGTCGCCTTCAATGAGGCCATCGCACACCCCGAATCCGAAGACGATTACGGAGAAGAAGCCGAGAAGCGAACGAGTACAGGGACCCATGAGGCGCGCGATTGCTTCTGAAGTCACAATGAGAGCGCGAAGGGAGTTTCGTGCGGACCCGTATCGAGCGGAAGTACGACATCGAAAAAATTGATTCTCATCGCCTGTTTCGAGCCTGGACAAACAATGAAAACAAACACTTGAGCGCGAATTGTGAAATTGGTCCGCTTATCGAATCAATCCCGTTCGAATCCGACTGACTGCAGCGGGAACACTGAGTTCGACGGAATCGTGTTGAATCGAGTTTTCGCCACCCGCGCCGTTCGAAGGTGCGAGAAAGTATCCCGACGGTCTGATGATATTCACATGTCGGAGCGGACAGAGGGACCCCTACCTTAACTGCGAGAAGGGAGAATTCTCCCCAACTCCCTCTCCCCCCGGATTCTAGCAACAGATACCTTTGTTTGATTAGAATAAGTAGCTTCGAATCGACGATGGAAACCTGCGCATGGGATGATGAATGGAATTAGCTTGTTTGTCGATGACACGTCTGTGCTCGTCAACGGCGTCGGCGCCTGGGGCTGAAACGCGTCTGATTCGATTATGAACCCCTCCACCCAGTCGAACGAGCGATGCCACGCAGCGGTGACAGAACAGGATCTCGACATGCGCGGATGCGAGCTCTCCAAAATTAAAAATTTACACGGATCGTTCGCTGGATTCCGAACAGACCTAATTTGAATATTCGCCCGTAATTGGCACGAGTGCTCGGCTCGAGCGACTCCAGTGAACGAATGGACTTTCTTCCCGTTCGACGAGCCAAGCCGCTCGATACTCGGTCGCTCGCGAGCGAGCTATGGAGGGCCCGCCGAAGCGTTGGCTGAAAGCAGAGAATCGTGAGACCGCTTTCCGGGCGAGAGCTGCCCGAATAACACGGTGTGGTCTCGAGCTTCCTGAATACGACCTCCCGGCAATGAGCAAAACACTGTAGCATGAGGAAACTTCCGCACCCTGCTGTTGTTATTCGCTGTCGAAAAGAGCAGACATCCGAATAGGACCTCGGATTCTCCTTCCGCTGTCGATTTCGACACAAGGGCACCGAAGACTGGAATACCGGAAATGGAGCCCGACTCCTGCTGATATCGAAAGCGATGTTGGCGAGATATCGGTGAGTTTGCCAGCGCGTTGCGCCAGGTCCTGTGTCTCAATGTGCAACGAGAGCGTCCCCGAGGCGCGGACAAACTCTCATCCTACCTGCGTCTCGATCGAGCGCAACAGTTCAATCTAGCTGCGACTTGTGCAATCCTTCGCTTGTAGCGCTACGTAAGACGTATGCAACCTGGGGAGGAGGCCAGGGTCAGACCTTGTAGGCCTGACGTGTGTAAGCGCGCGGGCAAGCGAGCCGGCGTCGCCGTCGTCGACGGGGCGGCCGCCGCCGCCACGTCGGATAGGTGGGCGTATGTGATTCATCCCCGGGGCGACGTCAATCGCATCCACCGTTCGGTCGCATCGGATATCGAGCGGGTTGTTTCCTCCCCGCGAAGCTGCACTCGTCTCTTTCCAACGAGACCGGCTGCCAATACGCCCTGCGAGCTTACCTCATCACGTGCCGCACTTCCCACGAGGATCTGTCTATTGGTGGCAACAACAAACACTCTTTCGGAACGAGCCGGCTTGTCCACATCGCGCGACGACACGCACGCGAGAGCTAGGGGACTGTCGTCTGAATGTGTTTACGATTGTGAGCGAACACAGAAACTCAGACCTCCGGGAGGCAAACAGACACGCACTGTGCCCCCATCGGTCTCCCTGCTCCGGTCCGTGATACCTAATTGTGCGAGGAGTCTTCCTACTTATTCCTGCATGCACACGTGTTCTCTGATCTCGGAGGTATCGAACACGTTTTCGCGGAGAGGATCGTGGCAACATCGTCTCGTCCGATCGCGCCATAGGAAGAAGAGACGTGCGTCTTCGCGCCCCTTCTAGACCGCCGCCGTGCATAGGAAATGCGATGGATCTACGCTCCATAGGATCCTCTGCCCCTCCCGGTCTACGGTGAAGAGGACGATGATCGGCAACCGGTGACCGCTGACCGTTCCGGAGGACAACCCATGACCATTGCGATTGGAGTATACGACCGGAAAGCTGCAGTCGACGGGATTCCGTTTCAGATTCTATCACATTCTTCCTGTCGACGCATCCGCGCGTTTGCGCCGACATCGGCGGCTGCGGTGGCGGCGACGAATCGAAGCCCATCCGCGATTCGAAGCTTCCGCGTGCTTTGTTCTTCTTCGTCGTCTATCAGAGTCTACCCGAATCTGGTCTCAGCTGCATTCTGGAAACTTATGGTCTCTTTGTCTGAGCCTCTCTCGGTCGTTCCGTTGCCGTTCTAGAAAGATTCAATGATTCATGGAGCTTGCAGGCAGGTTGCTCGCTCGCCGTTCTTCTCCCGCTGCGAGCCGCAGACGCTTCCGCTGGCCGAAGGAGGTATCGATGAGTTGTGGCCCAATAATTCACGCTCCTCCTACGACCTATTCTGAGTTGAGGATCAACCTCGCAGTTCGGATCCCTCAGCTCTACGGGCCTACATCAGCAACATCGTGATGCAGATTCGAGCAGGAAGTAGGGAAAATTCGTATGTAATGCAAGAATCACAATATAGCTCATGATTATGCTTATCACGTCAGGCTGCGGATTCCAACAACGCAAGCGAACCGCAAGACCTCCGGTGCTCAGCACCGCTGTGCTCGAAGGTCATCCGAAGGTCCCCATCGGCGCCGTGGAGGGAAGGCTCAGATTCGATCCGTGAGTGAGCGTCGCCTCTCGACTGTCCTGAGAGGTCTCCGAACCCCATCCAGAAAGCACCTGACACGCGTGAATTTCCCTGTCGACAGTAATTCGAGCGTTTCCGAACCATTCGCCCATCAAGGGTGCAGCAGAAGTCTCTCGGAATGGAATCTGCGATTTCAATCGAACCAAGACGTCGACAAATGTTTGGATCGACTGTTTCAATCGCTTCCCGAGAGGCAGTAAGCGAGGCAACGGCAATGCCTAGTTTGACTTCAATTGACCGAGGCGCTCTCGGAGCGGGGGAAGGCGCAGGGGGATCGGGACGAAACTTTTGTTTCGAGATTTGGTCGTTGCGGGGATTGGTCGACGGATTGGGTTATGACCAAGGTTCCGGAGTTCCTGCTTTCGATCTCATAATTTGGAGGGGCTTTCTTGCGATAACGAGATGAGCTCTGAGCTTTCCACACATGAGGATCTTCGAAAACTCGTCTAAAGATGAACGGGACAAAGAAAATAAATCGACGATCGTGATCAGCGCATCCCAGCCACTTCGGGCACGGAGATTTTCTCGAGAATCGATGATTCAGCTCATCGTGAGCGTCGTACGAATTTCGCGGGCCGATCGAAGGCTAGCTAGCGATTCTCTCAATACAAAAAGTGTTCTGCCTCCGTCCCTGAAGAAACTCGACCTTGAGATCGGGATTCGGAGAGAACGTCCGACTCTTCTCATGTCGATGACTGGGATTGGTGCGCTTACTATTCTCAGAGGCTTTCGCAAAGAGAAAAGGAAGAAGAGGCGGAAAGCATCAGGGAGCGATTCCGCTTTGTAAGTCTCACGAAGAGAGAAGACCTCGCAATCGCTCGACGGATGAGCGTTCGGCTAAAGCTGCCGAAACTTACGTTGAATAATACGCACGCGCTGACTGGAGTAAACTTCGCTGTGCACTCAGTACATTCGGATTCTTGGAAGGCTCCTGACCAGCTGGAGCTCAACAATCGACCAGTCTCTCTCGCGGCCGAAACATCTGAGGAACACTGCCGTGGCTTGTTTTGATCGAGGCTCGATCCGCTCGATTAGTCACAGTGGTCGCGACGGCGCGCGTAGTACAGTCATCAAAGGGTGGGAGGAACGGATCTTATCGAATATCTTCTCTAGGAACCATACGACGATAGGGGCCTGAGATCGGAGCATCGTGAGAGAGAACCTCCCCACATCGAGCACGGGTCGAAACCCTTGAGACGGCTCACAACTCGTTTTTCGACGCAGCAGTGCACTCGTTACCGTGGAACGAAGGAACTCACTCCCCTAAGTAAGGGTTTCACACAGCTCGACATGGGTGCTTTCGTCAAACTTTTCCTAATTGCGCACGTCGTGATCCTGTCGTGCGTACAACTGTACGGCTTGCCCGTGGAAAATGACGATGCCGACAGTGAGAACCAGGTCGATTGGAGTTCGCGGCAGAATCTCAGCACAAAGCCAATCGAAGTCAAGGGAATCCTGCAAGACGGTGAGTTGTAGCTATTTTCTGCTGATTAATATCCTAAGCCGATGTTGTGGCGAAGAACCGAGCGCAGATCCCGCAGTAATTCCGATCGACAGGGACTCTGTTCAGCGCGGAAGACGGCAACTCCCGCCAGAAACGGGACGCTTCTCTCGACCCGTTCGGAGGCTGCAAATTAATGTGCCCAGAGGGGTTCGACCCAGAAGACTTCCACATCCACATGCACAGGTAGGTTCGATGCATGATAGATCTCATGATGAATTACGGACGTATCGCCTCATCGATGAGTGCCATCCTGAAGTCAGAGCTCATCGGAGACCTCTCCCGCAGAAAGAAAAATGGTGACCGGGAAGGGGGACAAGACCCTCGTTACGGACTATGGCACCACGACTGGAAAGAACGCGCGGACTGAACAGGTCCATGCTCCCGCATGCCGTCCCAAAATTTCGGCCTCCGCACCCTATAAGAATCATGTGATACGAAATGACAATTAAATAGTTGTGAACCTCGGGAACTCCCGAAAAAAATCAATCCCGAGTTTTCCTTGGCGACGAATCATGGATCTGATGAGCATTCTGGAAGACATTCTCCCATATCGAGAGGTTCCCGGTGAGGGTCATTATCAACAACGAGTCCGGCGCGCGGCGCGTAAACCGGAAGCGAACGACTCGAGTGGGGCCTAGGACAGAAATCGCAACGCTCAAGGGAAATCCCGTGATGAAAATTTCAACAGCTCATCGAGCTGCCGAGGATTCATGGGTGTGCTCATGCTCCGCTTGGAGATGACGGCTCTAAGCTATGGGAAGCCTCGAGCGCAGTCAGCTTACAACCGAGAGCGAGGGGGAATCTGTGATCTCGATCAAAACAAATCCCTATCCGACGAAAGTCACTGAACCTATTTTTTTTGTTTTGCAATTCTTCCTGTTTGCGTGATCCATTATGCATGGCGAATCCCTCGCACTCACTGCGACTGATCAATGATGCGGCACGGGCCCCGATTCTGTTCAGATACTACCCGGAAACCCGGCGCTCGAACTCTCAAGCGCGCTCCGAAGGCTTTCAGACAACACGAGCCCAGCTAGGCCTTAACTCACCTTGCAGACGAAAATGTCGTCACTGTACCCAATATGACGTGCAAGAAACCACCAAGGTTCACCGAAAAATATATCCACGAATTGCTCTGCTTTCGCTTGGCTTCGCCTGTTTCAATCTAATGAAATGAGAAGGATCTCTCTCGGTCTCGTCTCATTGATATTCGAAAATCCCCGTGATTGACCACGGAGAGCGGAGCGGTCATGCGAGAGAATTTCGAAATTTTATTCAGGCACAGAATCTTTCAGTCGATGCTTATGGATCTGCGTTCATTACATCCATCCATCCGTGCTTCATATTCATCTCCGCAGATGCATTCCGCATCCGTCTCGCGGCAAGTTGAAGACTAAGCGTTAATTGTCATACAGCTGTCGACGGTAAACAGATGTCGACAGCGAAGAATAATGGTCAGCACTGTTCATTTGTCTTCGAAATAATGTATGTACATGTCTCATTGAGGACCACTTCGGCTCGCGTCTATCCTCACTGGCGACTAGAATCTCACTCATCTCTGGTAGACTTCTGCACGGAGGTCGGGTCCGTCCGACGCCCGGTCAGACTCTGCTCGACCTCCCGGCAGCTACCTAAGCGTACGAATATCTACGAATATCTGGCTAGAATCGTTTCTCTGATTCAACGTACTTGACGTCTTTACATCGCGGGGTCTCGCAGATACCGCGAAGCCTCTAGCTCCTCTTCAGGCACTTCGCATCGTCTCGCGAAAGAAAATGTGGAGTTCGGTCCGAGAGCGATGATGTACTTAGTATGATCGTACAGTGTTCTCTTTTTGACAAAAATGGGACCGTTCGAGGATCGCGATCGATTCCGAGGACTAGCTACTACTCAGAACTCGAATCTTCTTGGACGCGGTGACTTCGAATTCCGTATTTTGATCGTCCTCATCGTCATCTGAATAATCAGTTTCCTCGAAGTGATTAATGGGTTGTTTGCTCTGATGATCCGTTTCGAGGAGACGGGTGTAGTGTAGTTCCTTCAGATCCTGGATCCGTGCACAAACATTGACCGACAGCAAAGCTAACGCCACGATGCCGACAGACACCCCGACCACGAAAAGGAACACCGAAGGGTCGTAGACCCGCCACGCGCATCCGGCTGTAATCGACCCACCCGAGAAACCCAAGCCCCAGAAACCGAAACGCATCGACCGCGAGATCGGCGCGTGGTCGCTCGGGAATGTGATCTGTTGCAGGAAACTGTCGACGGCTCTCCACAGAACAGTGCTACTCAGAGGCGCGAGAATCTGTACAAACAAAATGCACCACTTCACGTTGTTCTCAGAATAGAAAGAATACGCCACGAATCGGATGTTCACACTGAGCAGGGCGGCTATCAGAAATCGATGAACGTTCAGGGTCCGCTTGGGTGTTCGTGAAATCACCAAGCCAGACATGAGTACCGGAATCCCGATGAACGCCGAAACGTAGGGGATGTCGGCACCCCTCTCGACCAGGTGCCAAAGGAGGAAATTCTGTTCGACTCCGAACGCTCCGCCGAGAGTGACCAGAGCGAGGAAAATCAATATCGTCCTAAAATCCCCATAGACTGTCAATTTGACGGGGTCAGCGGCGGCGCGATCGAGGATTTTCTGCCGTTCGGGGATCGGAAAACAAGTAAACACCAACGTCGCCAGCGCCAGGACAAAACCACTCGCTCCGAGTAGAGCCGTCGGCAGCTCGAGGCCGGGAGCCAGCGGGCACCCGAAGCGTACGTAGACGAGCACAGCTGTCAGCAGGGTGAGCAGAGTTATGGCATGCGCGAACGGCGAGTGGACGAAGTTTTTCTCCATCTGGTCCAAGTAAACCGTGTACAGTCGAACACTAAAACGGTCGATGAGGGCGAAGTAAACTTCCACGCTGACTACAACCACGCAAACGAGGACGAAGCTATGCGTGGAAACCACGAGCGATAGGGAATTCATCAGGCTTTCCCACAGGCTCCCGAATGAATCGAACTGGGGGGAACTCTCGGCGAGGGGAGCGGATGATCTGGGGCTGGGTTGCGCCAGGGGTGCGCCTGGGGTCGTAGGAAGAACTTCGGCGCCTCCTTCAGAATCCCTCCGTCTCCGTGTCTGTCCCTGAATCGAGAAGCCGCCGTCACCCGCGTTGTCTTGCGCCTCGATTATTCCTCTGACCCACGCTGGTTCTACGCCTCCTCGGTCCGGTGGTCTCGATATGACACCGGAGGGGGCTACCAAGTCAATTCCGATGTTTCCGTTTGGATCGATCGGATTTCCAGGTCGGGCCAGGGGAAGCGTCGGGGTCGGCATCGGGAAGAAATCCGAGAAAGGTCCGCGGACGGGTGATTGTGTCGCGATGCTGGCCGCAGTTCTCACGTCACCCGGAGAACTCGCTGCCTCGACGGTGACAGGCGGCTGCGGTTGGTCATCTGAGAGGAGCGATTCGAGCTGTGTTCCGTTCGAGCTATAGTTGCCGTGATCGCAATGTGTCGGTGTGAGCGAAGAGCTCCTCTGGTACGAGGAAGGGGCAACTGAATAGAGGAGAACGTTCGCAGACGCCAAGGCGAGGCAAAAATGAGCGAGATATTTCCGCTTCTTCGGTGAGCGCACGCAATTCACGGCGAATTCGACGAAAATTATTGAGAACACAGCCGAGGCCGCACGGAGAATCCCAACTTGCAGCGGATTGAAGCCGACCGAGCGGAGCACCAAAGCTATCACGGTGAAGAAGAGAAATTTCGATGAGGATTTCAGAGCGAAGAACAACGCTGCAACCCTCCTGGAAGAAGAAAAGAGCCGGCATTAGAGGTCTCCCGAGAAGAACGTTTGGAGTTGAGGATCGTGGAAGGGCGCGGCGTCCACCGGAGTCTGACGTCAGCGGAGCAACGAAAGGAACAAATCTTCTTACTTGTGGAAAACCACTTGCTGATGATTCATGGCGGACGGTAACGTGAGCGGCTCCTGGGAAACTGTCGTGGTCGCCTCGTCGTCTGAAGAAGCGCCTGAAAACCGAGAAGAAACTCATACATTCAGTCTGCTGTTTACGACTCGTGCACGGATAGGGTGCCTATTATTCATGAGCTCATTTGATAATTGAAAAAGCATCCAGATTCGCAGTTCGCTGATATGCGAAGCGACGCTGAGCGATTTCCGATAGAGAGAGGGTCAGTGGTGTCTTAATTGGCCGTCTGACGCAAGGGGATTAGGTAGGTGAAATAAAAGTGAGATCAGTGGTACGCTTCGGTCATGGAGTTCGAATCGTGTAGATCGATGATGGATGCTTTCGGGCGAAGTCTTCCGGGAATCGACCAAAAGTTCGAGATCGCCGAACTCTCCTCAAGTGCGAACAGAATGAGTCGGAAGTCGGAACCTATTTCGTTGCCCGAACGCCCGAGGGCTACAACGAGCTCTGGTGGAGCAGCCACGTATCAAGCACCAGGCACTGGCTCAGCCACGGACCGGGAGAGCGAGACGGGAAGGACGATTCCGGAATCATCGTAGGTATTCGTTTCGGTAGGGAGCGTTCCGTTTAAGTGCCGTAGATGTAGTCCGTCGAGGCCCAGAGGTCGGAGCACTACTCGGATCTGGTACATTGGCGAGACAGCGGACTGGGTTCCGGCCCGATGATGAGCCGAACGCACAGATACAAACATAGGCGTTCGAACTCACGGAACGCAAGGCGGACGGAAATATCAGAACCCTTCGGGCCTTCCATGGCGGGACCGAGATTCCGAGAATGACACTGTTCAAGCAGTGAACATCGCACCGTGGAGATGACAGTCGGGAGCTGCCGGCAAGCTGTTCCCGGCGTGGAGTGGCAAGCAGTCAAGGGATTACCAACAAATCCTTACTGACATCAAAAATGGGACTTATTCGATACTCTGATACGCAGCGATGTCACGATTTCGGGAAAAAATCCATATTCTTCAAGCGAGGCCGACTCAGCCCACAAGCTTATCGACTGAGGGCCGGAGTCCCACGGGAAGCGCGAGATCTTCCGCCGGCCACTCGACGAGATATGGCCTTCCGATTCGAACCCTACAGAGCAACTGACCATTGGAACTCCCAGTCTTCGGGCTTACTCGATCTGTTCGGAGTCTCGTGTGCGTCCCATGCTCTGTCCCATGTCCTTTGGAGCTCCTCGTCCGGGATGAGTTTACCCCATCGAACGGTGAACACTTAGCATATTTCTTTGGAATACCATACCTATGACCTATGATCTTCCCAAGCAATCCTGTGCAATTGAGCGATTCCCTTCGGCGGTTTCGCCAGTCCGCTGCCGAGACAACGGGACGGAAAATCGGTGGGTTCGATATGCCGCCATTCGGAAGCATAGAATATTGTACAAAGGTACTGGTTCGACTGACTGAGTCTCGCTCTCGAGCGCCGATTCCCTTTCCCTCACATAGCGACGTCCGGTGCCCCTGAACTTTACTCTGAGATCGAGTCATCTGTCAACATTCCGGAGCGAGTTCGAATCGGCTCAAATAATTGAACAGAGACCCTTCCTCTAATTCTGATTTGAAGAGAGGCTCAGATAGCGTTTTTTCCCTTATCCGCTCGATAGTCCTCCGTGATGGCGCTCCCGTCACCTCCGCCGATTAGCGTCGGAGTGGATATCTAGGGGATGGTTTAGCGAGGATATGATGACTTCTATAAATACAAGGTTTCCAACGATGCAGTTCGTCGACGATCGTTCTTCTTCGGGACACTCTCTTCCCGACTTCTATCACACAGTCACATTCAACACGATGAGAACCCTACTTGCATCTGGCTGTTTCTCGAGTGAAGCCTTACTACAGAGGATTGTTCGAGACGTGCGTGACATGTGAATCGATCCCCGATGCTCATTGATTAGACTCAGCATTGATGCGCGATGACGTTCTCATTATCACATCAGCTATTCGACAACAAGTTGTTGTTTTCCACCCATGGGATCGCCCGACAGGCTCTCCCCCGCCCATTGTCAACGTCTACTGTGCAAATAATAGAGCAGAGATGAGTCTCCCCGAGCGAGCGTCTGGACGGTTGATACGGACAGCACGTTGTCTGAGTGACCCGAAATGCCAAACCTTGTTCATGGAACCTGAAGATCACCTAGGTCTAGGAGGCCATGGATCACGAATTTTGACCGCATCTCCTGCGACAGAACTCGAATTTCTGAGTTCCTCGGAGCACGAGACTGAGTCTCATCCCGTGACTTGTCCCAAAAACGTTTCACGGTCTCCCGGTCGAGCCACAGAGTGCCGCGTGTTGCAATCGAAAACTCAGTAGACTGCGCTCATCCTGAGGATTGGCTAACGAATTCTGATCGATAATTCCTCCGTCAATGTTTGTCCTCGGGCGGGCTGGGGATTAAAGTATCGAGCATTTTCGATCCAGCGAAACACTGACTCCGAGCAGATTTTCAAGACTCACAGTAGCCGTTTATTGAGTCCTGGCAGCATCGGCGGGAGCCAATGACGAAAATCCGCGTTTCCGATGTCGTCGTCTTTGGTTCTTCGAGCAACAGAGCCGGGAGGCACAAACAAAAACAGAAGCACAGCTACTCCGGCTAGAACGGTCTGTTGATCCGCGGAGGCCTAGTTCTGTTCGAGTCGGAAATCGGGCTGCCCTTTCATTTCCTAACAGAACTTTCTCTGAGATTGGCAGCTTCGAAACCGAGGTCGTTTAGACGAGCCCAGTAAGCGACAAATCAACGGACCGACAAACTAACAGCGTCATCGAGCAAGTGCTCCCCGCCGACTTTCGCGTTTCTAGTTGATTCACTCCGGCACCTCGAATCGGGGACCTCATACATCGATTCCCGGCAGGAGTATTGAGAAGAAAAATAGTATGGTGACGCCTCCGCTCCTTTTCGGAGACCTCCGAGCGAAAGTTTCGCGGCACCGAAGAGCGACGACTATTCGGCTTGATCCAAGCCTCCGGTGGAGAACTCGGTCGAAAACTCCGCTTCAGAAACTAGGAACGGAAAGCCTCGCTCGGATTCACGATCCGGCTCCACTACGGGTGAATCTCATTCGCGAATAATTCGAAGCCGGCCGAGAAATAAGAATTTTCTCACATGTGAAAATGAGGTCGAATCTCAACGCCCTCCCCACCAGGGTGTGAGCAGGGATCATGGGAAAATTATAAGTTGCCACCCGCGAAACACATGGGAATCCAGAGAGGCTCCCTCCGACTGGGCGTACCTACAACCCCGAGCGGCTTTGAGCGGGGACGAGCGACGTACACGATTTCTGCTGTCTTAATTCTGGATGTTCGAGAACTGATCTATTTCGACTCCGATCCGGGACAATACGTCTCCGGAAGTCATTGACCTCGATTTTCCCGGAACTTCCCGAGCGCCGAGCAGTACATTGAACATCTCCAACGGAGCGCACAAGATCGGTAATTGGATAAGTGCTTGAGGGAGGGACTTCGCTCCGGAATCGTTCGACAATACATCATAGGAACATCAGCGAATCGCATCCATGAACTCCGTCCTAGAGTCGGAGTCGACATATACGAACTTTACGATATCCATACGGGGGCGTATGGTGAGCAAAAGAGCCACACTCACCCATTTTCCTGGCAGCATGACGCTCTCCGACTTACGACTACAGTCTCATCAGAGATGGCATGGTCGAAATTCCGCCGTCTACCGGGAGTTGCGCTCGAAATTCAATCTAATACGAGGACGCCGACGACGCCGATGACTTGGAGTTTTTGCGTGTCTGACGACTCTCAGTGAACTTGCTCGCAGGCAGGCTGGTGGGCGAGCGAGTAACTGAGTGAGCGGCATTTTCAGATCTTTGAACGCTCGAAACATCTGTCGTGGTAGCATTCGAACGGAAAATTGTGGCCTACCACGAGAGTTAGGCCAGGTGGTCGGATTGTGTCGTGGCGTAGCGACGGTGATGGCGGTGGCAAGGATGCTTCTCTGGACTACATTCTCTTTTTGTCAGAAAAGGCGATAGGAAGACACGAGTGAAAATGCCCATTTGGCTTGCCTCGGCACAGGCCATGGAGCTTGAATCAAATCGAGGTGGTCACAAGCGACAGCTGAATAATTCGTAACCCTGCGGGTTGATCGTCGTGCCTCGCCGGTACCCCAGACATTCTGTTGTAATCCGTCTCTGCACCGAGTCTCTCGGCAGATCCTACAGATCATGATCACGTCGGGAAACGAGGACGGGCGAAATCACATGCGGGTGAAGCCCCCTCTGAAGTACAGCTCATTGCTCTTTGACATTGAATTTCGGACCGGGAATTCGGAGGGCTGGGATCCGACGCTCGGCAGGAGGCGGGGAGCTCCATTGTCGACGTGCAAACGGCGTGTTCGTATTTGCTTTCCGAGTCCGTGCAGAGTCTGGACGCATGAGGTAAATATCGCTTGTGTCGCTGTCATCTTCGGGGAATCTGCTACACAGCCATATCGGAATGAGTGGACAACGCATGATGGCTCTTCCGACGAGTTTATCTCATTGGAGCTCTAGCTCCTCCTGTCGAATGGGCGCTTACACGAAGCTCGCCATGACTTTGAGAGTGTTCTCGGATCCGTCTGGAGCTCGGTCCCGCATCGTCGTCTCGGGATAAGATCCGGCCCCGACAATAAGTCGTGGCATCGATTTATCGGTATTCGGCTTTCTGATCAACTTGAGGGAATCGATTTTCGGAATCACGGAGCGACGCCGGTGCCGTTGGCTCACGGTGTGCTTCCTGGGGCACACACGGGGCAACTCGGTAGAATTGTGAGCCTTGGCCATTGAGTGTATAGGTAAGGAATCAGCACAAAGAGCCGGAAACACCGATCGAGGGTTGACACACAATGAGGTGTGCAGGGTGTCCCCCTGCTTCAAGAGTTCGAGCAGGTAAAAGGCTGACGTCCTTTGTGCGGAAAACCAATCCGTCTGAGGACTTTAAAGACTCGCGGCCGAATTCCCTCCTCTGAGGAA